CTAGTCCTACCAGTTGGTGACCCCGATTCGCTGCGCGCGAATTTAAACTTTTTCATCGTTTTTATTTTTTGGTGAGTTCGTTGCATTTTCGCGGTTGTATACGTGTAGTTAGTTCTCACTTGCGTAATTTTAGTAGTTTCATCGTATTTTTGTCTATCCTTGATCTTCTCGATTCACGATTCGAAAGGGGCATCTGAGTCGTTTCCAAGCGTAATGCTTTCTTTGGCTGTTCCAATTTACATGGAACACAGCCCCGATGTTTGGTTTGCGACATTCGAGATCGAACTGGAATATAAGGGCATTCAGATAGACCGTTCGATGTACAATCAGTACGTTCCACGCCTTCCTTCCTCGGTTGTTACCCCGGTTCAGGACATTCTACTCCGCCCATTGAATGAAACAAAGTATGAAACGATGAAGCAAGCGATTTTATAAAAGGTTACAGCCCAGCGCTCGGGAACGATTTGAACAGTTCAGTGGTCACAAACTTGGAGATCGCAAGTCTTCGACCTTGCGCCGCGAAATTCGGCGCATCGCTGGTCCCTTATTCTTGAGCGAAGAAGAGATAAAGGAGCTGTGGGTTGCATCTCTCCCAGAGCCATTGCCGGTAATGCTGTCATGTTTCTGGATACGCTGCCGAAAGAACTAGCTACCAAGGCAGATACTGCGCTCAAACGTCTTCCGCAGCAGACGATCAGTAGCTTCTGTAACGTATTTTCACCGATGAAAACCGAGTCTTATATTTGCTCCAAGTCGTCAGGCCGATCTGACTCTATGGACGGGGAAATTGTGTTACTTTGCAGCAGGATAGCAGCAATGAAGACTTCGAAGCAACGTGTGCCACGGTTAGCTGCTGATCACATATTGGTTACCTTTCATTCCGGCTCGTCTGTGCCTGCACCGAGTACGTTTCTTCGAGAGAGAAAAAATCGCCACACTTTCTCTGCACGTTTTCCAGCCCGATAATACCAAATCCGTCCAAGAATTATGTTGGTATCACTTCCAGTATGGTGGAAAAGCTAGACGTTATCGTGCTCCCTACATTAGGCGCGACTCAGCCGCTTCAGGGAAAGCGAATAGTCAGCATGCTAGCACGACCAACGCGTCCATCAACGACCAAGCAGATCTCGTGGTTTACCTTAAGGATTGACTTTCTTCTATCACTTTCCTCATCGATACGGGAGGGGAAGTCAGCATCATCTCTACGACCGCGAACAACAAGCGCTTGAAGTCCAAGTACAACTTTGCGTTCGGCCAACGGTTCTCCGATAGCTTCATTCGGTCAGTGCATGATGAACTTGAACCTTAATCTCTGCCGATATTTTCAGTAGGTTTTCATGCTTTCCTCCGTACTCTTCGCAATTATCGATATAGACTTCCTTCGACATGTTGAGTTGCTTGTTGATGCTGGTCGCCACGGACTCTTAGATGACCGTACTAAACTAGAGGTTGAAGGCGTTCTTGCGGACGTCCTTCAGATTATGCGAACCTACTGTCTGAATACCCACGGCTGGTACGACCGGCTACAGAGCTTTCGCCAGTCATGACAGAGGTCGCTCGTTACATTGTTACGTGCGGTCCACCAACGAGTGCCCGACCAAGACGACTCGCCTCCGATAACTTACGTGCCGCTAGAGCTGAATTCGATCACATACTTCAGCTGCGCATTATCAGATCATCTAACACCTCTCCACATGGTTCCAAAGAAGACCATGGGGGACTGACGTCGTTGTGGCGATTATAGTTCTCTAAACAACGTGATCACGCCTGATCGCTATCCTATCCCACATATCGTGGATCTCACCGACAGTCTGGTAGGTAACAGCATTTTCAGTGAAATCGACTTGGTGAGCGCTTACAACCAAATTTCGGTAGCCGAAACGGATATCGCTAAAACTGCTGTGACGACTCCATTTACTTTGTTCGAGTTTTTGCGCATGCCGTTTGGTCGAAAGAAATCCGCACAAACTTTTCAGCGGTTCATCGACCAGGTTTGTCGCGGTCTAGACTTGGCCTATGTCTACTTCGACGACATGTTAATCGCTAGCTTTATACGAGAACAGCGCTGATGCCACGTTCGAACGCTTTTTGATCATTTCTCTCAACACCGGGCAATAATCAATGCAGAAAATTATTCGTTTGGTTTCGAATCGGTCAGTTTTCTCGGCCACCTGTGGGCGTCGTGCCAACATACAATAAAATGAAGGCCATCATCGACTATCCCGAGCCTCATTCTTTCAAGCAGCTAAGACGTCTTGACAGGCCCGTCAAACTTTATCGTCGTTTTATACCAGGAGGTGCGTCGCTTATGCAGCCCCTCGCAGACCTTCTCCGAAGGAAACTTTAGAAATTCGATTTTTTGGCCGCAGCATCACTGCGTTTAAAGCCTTAAACTAAGCTTTCGCCAACATAGCTTCTCTAGCGCATCACGACCCGGCAGTCCCACTGTCGCTTAGTACCGGCGCTTCTGACGTGGTAGTTGGGGCGGTCTTACAACAAAAGATAGGTGACGCTTGGCAGCCGTTGTCATTTTTCACTAAACGTTTGTAACCTGCCGAACTTCGTTACAGTACTTTCGGCAAAGAACTATCAACCATTTACTTACTCCAGTCGTAGTTGTAGGGGGAGTTTAATGGTTTAGGTAGAAATTCGTCACATCTAGACTCACTCAGACAGCCATCACACACCCGGAAAAGCACTGTACGCGCGTTTCATCCTTTCGGGAATCGTCAGCAGTGCGCATTCCATCGGACCCTGGTAGGGCTCGAACCAGCAACTCGACTGTTGCCAGTCTGTGGTTGAGACCACTGAGCTACGGGGGACGGCAACGACCATCGTGAATAAGTTACTAGATGTGATGTAGCGCCGCTCTCTATCCACTGACTTGCACGTTACTACCGTGCAGAGGACAGGGTGGCCCCCTCACCAAGCGACGAACGTGACAAACTTGAGCCGTCAATTAACCTATGGCATTATAAGCGGTTTGGTCTGCGTACAGTCCTCTGCACGATAGTAACGTGCAAGTCAGTAGATAGAGAGCGGCGCTATACCACGTCTAGTAACTTATTCACGATGGTCGTTGCCGTCCCCCATAGCTCAGTGGTCTCAACCACAGACTGGCAACAGTCGAGTTGCTGGTTCGAGCCCTACCAGGGTCCGATGGAATGCGCACTGCTGATGATTCCCGAAAGGATGAAGCGCACGTACAGTGCTTTTCCGGGTGTGTGATGGCTGTCTGAGTGAGTCTAGATGTGACGAATTTCTACCTCTACCATTTATTTATTCATACGTCATTTCCGACATGTCTTAGAAGGCCGCTCCTTTGCCGTCTTCACCGACCACAAACCCCTGACTTACAGGCCCAGCTCGAGTATTGACCGATACTTACCTAGGGAGTCGCGCCACCTAGATTATATCGCTCCGTTTACGATCGATATACGACATGTCTCTGGTGTGCATAACACCATCGCGGACGCACTTTCCCTAATTCAAAAGATCTCCTCTTACGCCAGCACTGCTATCGACTTAGCAGCCATGGCCACAGCGCAATTCAATGATCCTGAGGATGATATACTACTCACATCTCTCTCACTGGATATGCGACCCATTCCGCTGACATCATCAGACGGAACTATACTTTGCGATTTTCCTGGGCACGCCGCGCCCAGTCGTCCCCCCCCCCCGAGTTTTGACAGACCGTGTTCGACATGTTGCACGGCTTGTCTCACCCAGGCGTTCGTGCATCGGTTACATTCGTAATCACACGATTCATCTGGCGCAATGTCAATCGTGATGTTCGTACTTGGGCAGCTTCTTGCCTTCTGTCAACGCGCGAAAGTGTAAGGGCACACCAGAAACCCATTAGGCACCTTTCCGACACCAAACGCACATTTCCACCACGTGCATTTCGACCTTGAAGGTCCTCTGCCTCCTACGAAAGGCTCATCATACTTACTAACTTGCATCGACCGATTCACCAGGTGGCCAGAGGAGATTCCGATTCCGAAATGCTCTTCGAAAACAGTAGCAAAGACATTTTTGGAGCACTGAGTAGCTCAGTACGGCTGTCCGGTCTTCGTGACTACCGGTCGAGGGTCACATTACTTGTCAAGTTTGACCACGTTGCTTAAGGAGTCAGGCTGTCGCCACGTCCAGACGACGGCGCATCAGCCGGCCGTTAACGGCATGGTGGAGCGTCTTCACCGCCAGTTGTAGGCAGCGCTAAGTGCGCATACAGCTCATACATGGTCTGAAACACTTCCTCTCGTCCTCCTAGACATAAGAAACACGGTTAAAACCGAGTTCGAGGCAACACCAGTGCAGTTAGTCTACGGCCGCAAGTTGCACTTGCCTGGACAACTGGTGGCACCAGTCGCGTCCACTTCCTCCCTTGACAATGGAAGTTACACCGACCGATTGACTCATCAGATGGGAGAGCTATGTCCGCCCGCTCCTCGATCGCAGACGACACCAGTGTACGTGCCCGAAAGGCTGTCTAGCTGTTCACACCTCGTCCTTACAGACGGTGTTAGACAGCCTCTTTAGTCGCCGTACATAGGACCCCACAAAGTGCTACAGTGTAAGAATAAGACGTACACTATTGATCGCGGTGGCCGACGCGAAGTCGTCACCATCGATCGCCTCAAACCAGCTTTCATCGACGAGGCCGCTGAGCCTATGGCTACTTCGAACGCTTCGTGTGACGCTACGAATAATCGCGCCACATTACAAACACGTAGCATTCCTGCAGTGGGTACCGATTTAGGTTCACAGGCTAGGGTCGTTCCGACATCATCGTTACTTTGAGCCTGTCGTCTCCCACGATCAATCGCCGTGGTCGGAAGGTTCGTAAGCCCGTTCGCTTTTCCGATTATGTACAGTGTAAAGACTTTAGGTTTGTAAGTATTGTAAATATTTGCCCCGTTTTTGGTCGATTAACGTTTTGAAAAGATAAAAAATCAAAAACTTCCGAAAAACCTCTTTAAAATTGGCCCCAAACCCAAAAACCTAAACCTTTTTGCACACAGATCATTCGTTCGTTCTTTTCTGCGTGTTTTTCTGCTTTCTTGTCTCTACATGCCCCACCCCTCTCCATCGATCGACCGGTCCTCACGAGCGGCGTTTTTGAGGATCGTTACAGTCAACGAGGATCCAGACGCGAACGCGGGTCGTTTCTCCGTGGGACTATGGTCGTTTCTCCGTGGGACGAGGGTGCGGGACGGGATGCGGCGAGGAGAGACCACTCCCAAGCGTACCGCTTGTTAGCAGCGTAGTTTGAGGTACTGTCGGCCATATATCTGGTGCTAGCTTACGGCTCGCCAAAGTGCACTCTGCCCTGCAATCCATAAATAATAAATAACAAACGGCACGGCGGACCCCGACTTTGGCGAACTCCCATTTGACGCGAACGCTCACTCATTCTTATTCGGCGTGATTTTGCCCTGTGAACCTTGATTTATCTGTCATTTTCGACCTCGAAGGTCTATGTTCAGCCTTCTAGGGAAAAGTTCGGTAGCACACAAAAGGATAACTACTATCTTTTATGTACAATTTTGCTTGCTGACTAATTGTACATTATTCTTTCTTGTTTTAATTTTCCTTACAACCGGCTCGTGACTTGACTGCTCTGCAAGTTGTCACGCTAACATTTTGCTCCTGTCGTGCTTCATCTGTCCACCTCTTTTGTACCCCATCGAATATAGTCCGCTGTGTCCTACTCCAATTACCTTCTGATATCCGCGCTTGATTTCGTGCATTGTCTCGGACTAGTATTTACTTGTCCTACAGGAGTTTCCCATGGACAGCAGATGTCAAAACATAAATTTAGATAACTAGTCAAATTGTTGCAATATTTGGATACATTAGGGTCAAAGAATAAACTAAATTCGGTAGAATCAACCATTCTACGAAGTCTCAGTATATTGCATGAAGCGTTGCCTCCACCTGCGGTTTCGATCACTGCAGCTAGTTAAATCCTGATGGTTAGTTTTACCATAGATAACGGGAGAAATTTTGATTGTACGATCAGCACTGCCAATTGGAGCGTGAATCCATACAGAGAACCACTATGTACTATTACGAAACACCAGATCCAGGGTTGCGTCCAATCTTATTTGTAAATTTACGATGTTCCGTAATCTCAGAGTGGTGAGAAAAGTGGGATCAAATCTGTTGAAATCTTCGGTGACGATATGTAAAGAACAGTCGATGTGTCTGTCCTCTGACGGTTGCCGTAAATTCATCATGTAAACTCTCTGCTTCAAGTTTAGGACAGATGTGAGATATGTGGATGTTAGCCGACAATAGTGATCGGTAGCCACTCACACACATCGGCGTGCATTGTAGGACTACGCAGTTAATACATTGTGAAGAGAAACAAAAGACGTGTTTTGTTGCAAAACACCAAGATGGATTAATGTAAATACGGACCCCTTCACCTCTATTTCGGTACGTGCAAGGACAGTCAACCCGATGGCAAATGAATTCTCCAACCGATACGACAGTATTATCCACTTCTTCGTGGAGCCAGGTTTCTTGCAACATAATGATGCCTAGCTGCGAAAATTCTTTGGTAGAGACTGTACTCGATACTTCATCTAATTTTCCAACGAGCGAACGGATGTTGGCGCTAAGCAATACAGGCGCACTCAGATCTCCGATCTTTTTTCTTTCGAAGAGCGACCCTCCATCCAGCACGTTTTCGTGCAGAATTGTTACAACTTAAAAATTCTTTGCAATTTGTTTTCTATAACACGGCCGTTGGCAAATGCACAATTCACATGCTTAACAACACAGCGATTTCAAAATATCGCGCGAGTAGCTTAAGATCGCACAGAATTGATGAATAAAAACAAGAACGTTATAGGTAGAAATTCATCACATCTAGGCTCACTCAGACAGCCGTCACACGTCCGGAAAAGCACTGTACGCGCGTTTCATCCTTTCGGGAATCGTCAGTAGTGCGCATTCCATGGGACCATGGTAAAAACAAGAACGTTTTCAAGCAATATAACAACTGAGGTGTGTTGAAAAATTCCACAAACAGGAGTCGTAGGGCATGGCCCTGTTTGTGGATTCAGCCTCGGTGGGCACAAACCACATGTTCTCTACACCCGATTCCGCCATGTTAGCAGACCAGAGATGTGTTAATGCACAGCGGACCCGCGACACGCACTCACGCAGTGTGGCGCCCTCTCCAGCCTCCTTACGCTGGCACTTTCAGAGTACAGCATCCAGTTCCGACGTACTTCATTCATGACCAGAATGGTCATCGAATAACGATATTCATCAACGGCCCCAAGATCACCTGCGACCCGCTTAAAACCCTATTTCAACTGAAGTGACCTCCAAAGCGCTGAACACCCCATCACTATCTTTTCCTCATCATTTGCCTACTAAGCCTCAACTCATTGCAACCGACCGACTCGGGAAGAAGGTCAGACGTCTAGCCTGTTTTTCAGATTTTGTTAGCGCTTGTTATTTTTTCAATGCATGTATTTTTCACCCTTCACTTCTGTTGTGTGTTTCGCACAGAAACCTTTTGCAAAACCGACGAAAACACCGAACTCTTTTGGAACCCAAACAAATAAATATATTGAAACAATTAGTTCGCGAGGAAACTTTTAGCAGAGAAGTTAACACAAGAGTGCCGCACGATTTAATTCCGGAAAAATTTCCCTGCATATTTTCAAGTGCGTACTATAGACGTGTGAATTTATAGCATCATGAAAGGAGCGCAGTTGAAATGGCAAATTGACCAAACTGTACACACCTACATTCATGTCATTTTGTCATCTGTGCCCCGGACTGCTGCCACGGCAAGGCCGGGGTCACAAATGCGTCTTTCTGCGCACACACATTTGGGCCAAGTTGTTTGATAGTCAAGGCCTCTGCATATCGTAAAGTTTAAGAGGTTCAATGATGCATAGATAACACGGAGCGCCTGCACGGAGTCTACACAGTGATGGTCAGCCAGTAAGTGGCGGGCGATTAATGAACCTGGTTGTTTGTTTGAGACTTCATTTCGCTTCATTGGCTGCACATTCAAGGTGGTGGACGTGGCCATGTGCGAAACGTGTTTACTCACCCACGCTGGTATGTGCTGCGCTACCCTCACCCTCAATTGTCGTTCTGTCATGCACACGTACTCGGGCTTGCAAATACATGTAAATTGGTAAGGAATGTGTGAACGGCTGGACAGCGACAGCGGGGGCTTAACCGATGGAGTAGGGATACGATTCGTTGTGTAGTTGAGTCCTGGGTTCGCCGCAGGGTATACGCGCGCCACTGCGGATTTCAATCGGCGTTGTAAAACCTGGCATACGTCGTCCCCTCGAACAGCAATTACAAGGTTACCTTCATTTTTCGTACCGTGCGTACACATGTTTTCCTTTTCTCAGCACTAAACTGAGCGATGAAAGACGGTGGGTACCCATTGCATATGAGGTTGCTGGTTATCAGCCGCACCTTTTGTTCCAGCGTGTCAGCAGTGCATATTTTTCTAGCTCTTTTGAACAAAGTCTTCACCAGACCTTGTTTGTAACTCTTGGGGACAAAACTATAGAAGTCCAAGTACAGTCCCTTCCACGTTGGCTTGCGGTTAACTGATACGCGTACTGAACCGTCTCTCCTACGCTCTATCGGGATGTCCAGGAACGGCAGCGTATCATGCTGTTCGTGCTCCGTTGTCACTCTAATGTTTCTGTGTAAGCCATTCAACTTAGTAACCAGTTGGGCTAAATTATACTCGCTGTCGCAGATTAACAAAATGTAGTTCACATATCTAAGAAACAACACAGTTTCATCTATCTCGTCCATGACTTGATTCTTGTGATGGGCGACGAAATATCTGCGGGCGATAACCAGCAACCTCATATGCAATGGGTACCCACCGTCTTTCATCGCTCAGTTTAGTGCTGAGAAAAGGAAAACATGTGTGCCCACGGTACCAAAGATGAAGGTAACCTTGTAATTGCTATTCAAGGGGACGACGTATGCCAGGTTTTACAACGCCGATTGAAATCCGCAATGGCGCGCGTATACCCTGCGGCGAACCCAGGACTCAACTACACAACGAATCGTATCCCTACTCCATCGGTTAAGCCCCCGCTGTCGCTGTCCAGCCGTTCACACATCCCTTACCAATTTACATGTATTTGCAAGCCCGAGTACGTGGGCATGACAGAACGACAATTGAGGGTGAGGGTAGCGCAGCACATACCAGCGTGGGTGAGTAAACATGTTTCGCAGAAGGTCACGTCCACCACCTTGAATGTGCAGCCAATGGAGCGAAATGAAGTCTCAAACAAACAACCAGGTTCATTAATCGCCCGCCACTTACTGGCTGACCATCACTGTGTAGACTCCGTGCAGGCGCTCCGTGTTATCTATGCATCATTGAACCTCTTAAACTTTACGATATGCTGAGGCCGTGGCTATCAAACAACTCGGCCCAACTCTGTGTGTGCAGAAAGACGCATTTGTGACCCTGGCCTTGCCGTGGCAGCAGTCCGGGCACAGATGACAAAGTGACATGAATGTAGGTGTGTACAGTTTGGTTAATTTGCCATCTTAACTGCGCTCCTTTCATGATGCTATAAATTCACACGTCTGTAGTACGCACTTGAAAATATGCAGGGAAATTTCTCCGGAATTAAATCGTGCTGCACTCTTGTGTTAAATTTTCTGCTAAAATAAACATATTTCCTTTCCTTGTGTTCAGAAACAATTATCGGTCAGCATTAGACTGCCCTGGGGATAGGGGTGATAACCCTATCTCGCTTATCGTGTGTTGGTCTGTTCGTCTTTTTGCATGTATGTTTGGTCGCACCCTTCACAATGAATATTAGTTAGTTATTGTTAAATGCACTGATGAGACAATTCGAAATTCGTGCATTTGCCAGTCTTCGTCTTCTTACTGCGCTTTTCATATTACTAAAGGGAACTAACTGTTTCATATTTCCTTTTGCTTTACATGCATGCCACGTTCCCTGTACCCACCAGGTCCCCACTGCCTCTGAATTATACATCCCAACGACCCGAACCGGCACTGCGATCCTTTTGTTGACCTATAACAGCCTCAAGTTATTTCCCTTGGTTCCTAGCGACAGCCAGCATACGATTGCATCAGCCGCATTGGTCTCCAAACGTGTGGCTGCGTGGATCCCATGAGGGCACCAGAATTTCTATGTGAAACGGAAGCCCATGACCGTGGACTGGGGTGCTGTGTGGGGAATGACCTCTCCCAAACTCACCCTTGTGTCGATTGCGGAGAAACTGTCCTCTCGGCAAATTTTTGACTAGCCACTCTTATATACCAACCTGTCGACGCGGACGGCCACCCGTGATGCTCTCCAGTCTACACGCAAATACTAACTAAAGTAATAATAAACAAACCTGGACCAAGCAAACTCTGCCAAACCTCTCGTTTTGGACACGTGCTGAATCCACCTATTATCTTTTAACCTATCTTCCGCTCTCCCCATCTGACACCCATATAGAAGTCTTCTCACACTCAACTTTCTTGAGGTAGACCCTTGTACTGGAACTGAAACAGTTAATCCTTCAGTAGTTTTGCAACATCGGATTCTATTTTTGTATATTTCCAACCCTCCATGTGTTTTACTACTTGTGAACTCCGAATACTTCTGTCAGGTGAGTTGCGCGCTACGCTGCTGCCCACTATCGCTGATTTATTCTCTATTCCTTGTAGTCTTTGCAATATACATTGGGTTCAGCTGACTCAATTTTATCCGTCAACTTGAACTTGCCAACTCTCTTACATGTCGTCCTTATCAACTGGTATTCGAGTCCCACTCTTCAGCTTAAAATCATGCTTTATCTTCTATATACTCCATATTTTTGATTGAAGTGGCATTTTAACGTTCCCTAAAGTACCTTATAAGGAATAAGTTGACAATTCGAAAAAGCTCAGGATATCATACGCACAAACATCCTTCTAACTAGTTCCGTAGACATCTGGAATAGGGTACCGTATACGCTAAGAAAGTGCGATACCGCGGTGGGTTTTCATAGACGGACCATCGGAAGTTATTCCATCTGATAAGCGAAACGAGCAGAAGTGGACCTGGTTTTAGCGAGACCATATGTGATGAAGGTGGATGGCCAATCCAAAGTTAGTCAAAACGGTTGGAGCGTTTAGCTGAACACTTTGAAAAGCAGCTTAATCAACCACAGTCAGCAGCCTTCGGCCATCGATCGCTGTTCTCCATGGGCCATCTTCACGTGCACAAGTCTCACATGAGCTCAGACTGCTGAAATTGAATAAGGCTGCAGTAGCAGATGTAGTTTCTATAGCCTTCAAATTCGGGGAACCTGCGCTTGTAGATGACCTGTACCACTTACTTGTGAAACTGTGGAAGAAGGAAACTGTCCCAGCAGAATTGGCTGCTCCGTTATAGTCCCAAATTACAAAGGGAGCTCACCTTCCGAATGCAGCAATCATAGAGGGTTCAGTATGATTTCAATTGCCTCTAGTTTACTTGCGTCTCTCATTCTCCAAAAACTGACTGGCACCCGTGAAAGCCAGGTTCGTGCGGGGCAAGGCGCGCTTCGTTGAGCTCGATGTTGTAGCGTTCACTACTTTACCTCAATTGTTAGAGCATCGCCATATTCATTGGCGACCCCACGGTATTCGTGTTCATCGACCTTAAAGGTGCCATCGATTCGGTGAATCGAGGTGCTCTTTGGGACTGTTTACTCAAGAAACATGTGCCCGAGAAATATGTTAATAACATATGAGCGCTGTACACGCATAGTTCGGGCAGAGTGAGTGTTTATGGCAAACTGTTGCCGCCGTACAATATCTCCAGCTGTCTGAGACAAGGTTGCCTGCTGTCACCTTTTCTCTGTAACTTCGCCATTGACGAAGTCATGGAAACAGCGTTTTCCGGACACGACTTACAACGTGTGAAGCTGCTTCCCGTTGAACGAGTTCTTGACTTGGAATATGCTGGTGACATTGCACACATCTGTTATGACACCCAAACGTACCAAGAAGCACTGGCTGCCAATTGTTTGGGCCATGCTTTGCTTCCTCGAAATGCAAAGTACTTCCTCGAGAATAGTAGGGACGCACCTCCGCAGCTATATTTGCGCCTGTCGAATAGAAGATGAGTTGATGGAACGTATAGCAAAAACTCGAGGCGCTTTTACCCATCTCCTCCACTTGTAGCGCTGACCCTCTGAAGGGCAGAGTTCACAATGCAGCTGTCCGTTTAACCCGCCCTATCAGACTGAGGGACAAAAAGAAGCTAGCAACATTCGACTATCGCAGCCTTCACAGTTTAACTCATGTCTGATGGGATCACGTGAGCAATGAATATGTTCGGCGTCATGTAATTGGTTCTGGAAGAACAAATGAATCGCTCATCACTGTTATTTCCCACACCAAGTTCCAGTGGCTAGACCACATGTTGCAAATGCCAGCATACCGTTTCCTGCGACTTGTTGGTTCTCATGGCCTGGATGCGAATGGAAAAAGAGGAGAGGAAACCGATCGTTTGCTTGGTTAGGAAGTATGAGGACCTTCAAATTGAAGGTCGGTTGGTGTCTCCCGACTGTCGAGCTGGGAACCGATGGACGATGAGCCCGTCTGGTTGTATACGCCTTTTGACATGCCGAAAAAGAGATCGCAATGGCTCTTGTGTTGTACACTTCCTTGTTCTTTTTCCTCTCGCTTATCTTCCGCTCCATTCACGATCCGGTTCCCGATGCGGAGTATTATATTGCTTGTTTTGGGGTCTTATTTTGTATTCTGCCATGATTCCTATCTTGCCATTTCACATCTCCTTTTTTAATTGCTGCGCAGTAGCTGGGGTCTTTCCCATCTTTAACTAACGTGTGACGCTGTGACTGATTCCCCAACCCTGTTTTTAATGTGCTGTTAATCTGTCACTTCACCGTTGCACATTTTGTTCGCATGTGTAGTCTTTGAAATTGCAACTTCTTGCCTTAGCAACCTGCGGGATCAATTATACAAAGAAAATCTTACCCGTCATGACCATTGTATATGGCCGACGCGGCCATCGAGGAATACTTGCTTTTATGTACCTGCTGTTGGCAGTCTTTCGGATGTCTCTGAGCGACATCGACGTGCTGAGAAAAATGATTCTGTTGCAGTCACCGCAATATGTTTTCGCTATCTGCATTTTGGCATGACAATTTTAGGGGACTACTGCTGCATGCTGCTTCTTAACTGTCCTCAATTTTATTCAGTCTTAAGAATAAGTTGTCACTTGTTAAACATTCTGACTTTCAATGTAGGGTCGTGGAGTACCCACCGTGTGTCTGGATTGCGACACTCAGTCTCGATCGAAGTAACAGTTTTCGTTGAAGGTGTCATTTCAACCACTGGGATCGCATCCGAAGTGGAGTTTCGGAGCTGAAAGGAGAGAGCAGCTCCAAAACTATCCACTCGGACTTTCCTCCCGCGTTCGTTTTGGCCCTCAATTCATCCGCTATGCCAGTGAGTGAGTTCGGCCTACCTTATTGATCTGCTATTTCCCTAGACTTTCCCGTCTATCCGGGATGTAGGAACACACATTGGTAGCATGTCGCCTTCCCATCGGTGGTTGGTTCGGCCGGTACATGCCGGATATCTCCTGGTCGCACGAACGCACGCTGCTCATTGGTTGGACCGTTCTCTACCAGCACAAGCGATTTATGATATGCTGGTCGGAGCTCGGCCTTTGCCCCCATTTGCTCCTAGCAGAATGCAATTCGACATGAAATGAACAACTGCTGTTTATCGACGTCCAAAGGAACGCGCTCCCGGCTAAAACAGGATCTGTTCACGTGACTTCAGGCAGAAAATGAAACAATTCCTTCGAATTGCACAAGGGATATGACAGACGAATTGGAGGGCAAAACTAAGCGACACCGCTATTGTGGGCCTTGGTTACATGAATTTTTTCTGAATGAATTCTCTTGGCGCGGACTGGGACTCAGTTATTCAGAACCAGGTGATTTCGTCAGGTCTCAGGTGAGTAGATTTGCAGTGCTTTAATGTTAGATCGCATATGTTCCAGATTCCACCAAATGGCATCAGTAAAGATTTCGATACATTAACACCCTAGCTTTAAGATGTAGGCATCGTTACCTACTGTCACTTTGTAACTTCTCCTTAAAATTTTAGTGGATATCTCTAACTGGGAAAATGTAAAGTGTCAAGTCTTGGTAAAAATCGCGTGCGTTGGCGATTAGTAATAGTTCAT